ACAAACTGAATATTAATTTTAAATATACAGATGATCACGCAAGCACCGTTTTATTCGAGTCACTATTACTAATAAATATAAGTGATAGACTTGCACAGATGCAGTGGTCGCAGATTAAATGATTTTGACTGAGGGTCAGAGGCGAAGAAGTAGATAAAACACAAAAAATGTCTTGTTCGAAGTCTTAAAAAATGTGGAAAATTATCCCATGGCGATAGTAAAGAATGAATAACTTTACAATACTAAAAGGCCAAAAAAGAGAACCCCTCAATGTCAGACAAGTCACTGCGTAAACACAGACGCAGGAGGAAAACAAAAACATCATTCATTCATACACAAAACTACAAAATACAGATTTGTAAGTCCTTATATAATGAAACTTGCCTAACTGAACAAGTTTCACGGGGAAGTTAGCATCCAACTTGTACGCCTGTAGCCAGAGAAAGAAACTAGTCAAGCTTAAAATTGTACCTAACATAGTAGAAGATTGATTGATGAAGCACGGGTCAAACCGAGTCCTAGGGCTCTGCATGGGTATGCATGCAGACAGAGACAGTTATAATCGTGTGCGCACAGGATGACCAACCAAAATGATGAAATTTTTTTATACGAGGTCGGCTAAGCAGAAGCTACTGTAAACAAGTCTGAGAGAACAAAATCAATCGGACACCATGGAATCAGACAAAGAGCAAAGTAGGGGCCGGTGACTCAGCATCGCGACTAAGTGGCAATGAGCAGGACTCAATAAGGTACAATGGCTTGCGAGCCCTTGATGTGTAGAGGCTTCCCAGGGTATCGGATAGAAGGTAAATGGTAGAATGCACTTAAGGGAAGAGCAGTATAAAAATAGACCTTCTGGCTGAATGGTTTAACCGCCGAATGTTGAAAGGATAGGATTAGGAAAATAAGACTACGTAATAAAAGCGAGAGGACTAGTCAAAGATCCCTTAACAAAGCTAATCAGAGACAATTACAAGACTAGACTATAATAGATTAGACTTGATTAGGTGACTAGCCAAAACCAAACGGCAAAATGACAGCTTAACAAAATCAATTCAGACAATGCTATGGGCGTAGAGAATTCAGTCACATCCTCACAAATAGCTAGAGGGACGCACATAAAACCCATGTGCAGGCAACAAGGGCATAACGCATTTTGGCTGAGCGCTTCAGCCTAGCAACGAGTGAAAAGCCCAGGTGAGTCAGCTGCTGGTTGAATGCACTTGATAGCAGACCTGGTGAGAGAAATAGTCTGCAGGTGAGATTTAAAAAGGGTCGGCTAGAGTTAAGTCCGAGTGAGTGATTGCTTGGCCAAAGAAATGGAATAAGAGTCGCGTATCTAACAGGTGAATAAATTCGACAAAGAAAAATAAAAGCTAAGTACAAAGATTGGTAAATGCTAAAGCTAAAAAACGACTTAGAAGTTGTTTGACCTTGTTTCGCAAATTGATAAATTGTTAGGAAGAGCTAGAGGAACGCAGCCAGTCTGGAATCCATAGTATGCATGATAGTTTCTAGAGTCGGACCGTGTACGTGGTACATTCATAGAGGTTACGCCGACATCATCAGTGAGCATTGTCATTCTTATCACCACACTATAACTCATCAAATGAAAAAGTGAAGCCAATCCTTTGACCAATTTTAATCTGTTTAGCATAACTCCGTCTCCCTGGCGTTTTCACCAATCCTATACCCTCGTATCACTAGTTCGCCATTAAAATTTCTTATAAAAATGTGGCATGGTATGACCTTTTTAGTGGATTTCATGAGAACTCTCCAAACCCTACACCGGCATTCTCACAACCTCACCTCGCATTCCTCTTTCCATAGGTCTTATCTGTCTCCTTCTTACCCCGTAGGATCCGCCTCCTACACTACTGACACAACCTATGATCATAATAATGCAGAATATGGACTCCGGACTAGGTGCGTTCCTCTAAGTCTTATTACCAATATGACTAAGTTGCAAAAACAAGGTCAAACAACCTCTATACAATGAAAGGAGACTGCGACCACACAAAAGGCAACACCATTTTGGTCTTCATACCTTCGATTAAAGATTATATCTTGATCCAGTCGTCTTCTTTTTGTTGATATTACTGTTGTATGGTCTTCTCCGAGTTTGTTTAGGCAATACACAAACTTTTCGCTGATCCTACCTTCTTAAAGTCTTCTATTCAATAGATTTATCTCGGTCAGTATATCAATAACTCCCGGAGCTTGCGTTTTCTAGTATTTTCACCATATGCAGCCAGACTTTCTGTACGATTTCGTGTCCCGTTCGTACAATATGTTCAGTTATCTCGGAACTTTCCGTATCCATGTTTTAGCAGTCTTTGATGTTCCTTGATTCGTAGGAAGATTTTCCTTCATCTTTCCTTACAGACTTCTAATAACATTTGCCGAATTTGATGCGATAAAGTCCCGAGCAATCCAGTTCGTTAGTCTTCTCGTGTTGCGTTAGAAGACTGATCAAAAGTGTTGCCTTCTTCTTTGTTATTACCTTGCTATTCGATTTTCTTTGTAACAGTCTCAATTTCTAGCTCAGTTCACATGAGGGTAGGCATATCTACATTTTTTCATCCTCCCGAGTTATGATCTTATTTTCATAAAATCATAGTTAAAATTTCCGCCTAAGGACCTTTATATTTTTTTTCTATAAATTGTCTGGGGTACTCGTTACTAAAGCAAATCCGAGTCAGTTTGTCCAACTCCTCGTTCCAGAACTAAGTGTCCGTTAGTCGTAAGCTTCTGATGATCAAACTCCTCAGTAATCCGATATTCAGCCTGTAGTCATGGTGAGACAGAAAATTAAGGAAAATTCTTGCATATGAATACTTTATGTATAGACTCCTCATGAGTGTTCCTTTGGACCGCATGACTTCAATGTTCATAAAGAGAAATCGTTCAGCCTGCTTTATCTCATTTGTGCATTTAATTATTTCAGCAAGTTGGTTAATGAAGTTGAGGAATTCATTTAAATTTTCTATACCCTGTGACCGAAGAGCAAGGTAGTCACCCAGCTATCGCATAAGCACTTTTGGTTGCAGTGGCGACTTCTCGAATTCCCTTTCCAACTTGTCCATGTATACATTTGCCAAAAGAAGTGAGTGGAGATCCCATTGGTATTCCAAATATTTGCTCGCAGATAGTGCCGTTAAATGTAAAATATGTGATACTTACTGTCAGGTTGATCGGTCGTATTAACAACTCCTTCAGTAACCGTTCTGCCTCCAGGATATCAGCTTCTAGCTCTAATATCCCCAGCAAGGCGCTTACCGCCTTCTTACCTGATATGTCTGTATACATAAACTGTACATCGAAACTTTTCAGCAATTCCGATCCCCACCAGCCCAATGTTTGGAATCCTTTGAGAAAATTCATACAAATTCTTAAGGGTATTCGGGTCTGTTATTTCCTTGCTTGAGCTTCAAGCAAATGAATTTCGCTAGCTTGTGCGTTGATACATGTCTATTAATTTTAGCGGTATTCCTACCTTGTGTATTTTCGATAATTCCGTAGGCTGTTGGCGGTCTTTCGTCCTTGTTTAATTAAAGGTCTGATCGTTCAACTGCCAATTTCTCTTTTATTATGCATTGCCATTAGCATTTTTTTCAATGTCGGGTTGTTATTCATTGTTGAATCTTTCCTTAGTATTTGAAATGTTCCCGTCTCCTAGAATACTTTCCATTTTCTCCGTGTGATGTTTCTTGTGCATCACAACCTTCGCTCCTCTCTTATCTACCTAAAGAACTATTTGATTATTCTTTTGTAATTTATCAAATCCCGGAACCTCTGTGATTTCTAGTCCGTCATAATCTGGAGGTTTTGAAAAGCATCCAAAGTGAGAAGCTTGCATAGATCCTTCCGTAATCCAGACTTTATATCTATTAACTTAAATAGATTACTAGAATATATTAAGACCAAGATGTTGTGACCTCTGTTACGGTCGCAGTCTCCTTTCGACTTGTCTCTGACGAGCTCGTAGCTTGGTGCGGAGAATGGCAAAGCTCACTGATGATGTCGACTACGATGCCGGTGGAACGTTTGAGAATGTATCGAGTCCACTATCAGATGCTGGGAATCATGAAAACTACTATGGAAGACGACTTCGGACTAGGTGCGTAATACTTAGCCATCCTGACAACAAGATCAAGTTGCGACAAGGTCAACCCACTTCTAAAATATATTACGCCTCTCAGTTTCGTAACTTTCTTCTAAGTTCGGGATGGAGGCGTGACAAAGTATCTCATTAACCATGGCCGAATTACACTTCTTTAATGGATTGCAGAATCGAGGTGCGATGCCATAATGCTTGCAACAATTCAAAAAGGTCAAATGACAGGATTAACTTACAAGTGTCCTCTTTTTCCGTCTGTAATCGATGTATTGTTTGGCAATCTTACTTGCATATTTGATCGAAG